AGTTTATTTCACATAGTTTTAGTGTCCCTCTTCCTCCTCCGTAGTAATTGGTATGTTTCCCCCTAATGTGATTTTTTATACTTGTTCAGATTACGATTACTGGAATAATACATTTTCTACTCCTTTTCTGTTCTATTTTTTAAATTTCAATGTCTAGTCCAATGTTCCATTAAATATTTTGGCAAGAACCTGCAATCTCAATAAAATAGATTGCTTGCTGTGTTTTGCACATTAGCACACTTTGCAACCATTAGAATAATAAAAACGCGCAATACGTGTCGTTACTACGCTTATATATATATACACTTTCCATTAACGCCATATCTCAATTTATGTAATTACACACCGTACCCTCATATTTCAAAGATGTTTACGCGGGTGGAATATAAGTGCCGGAACAGGCAATCTCTCCCATCATTCACGAACACGCCATATCCCCTTGTGTATGTATTAAGGACTCATCCAAGTTCTCACATTTATTTTGTATTCTTTCTGCATTATAAAATACATGTGGTTAACTGAATGCCATAAATCAGGCTTGGTCGGCGTCTCTCGACATTTACACACCTCTCCATTCGTTTGCAACTGCAACTTGCAGAGCAGCACAAAAGGAAGTTCTACTAGACAAAGAAGCTCTTGTGACCTACTGGAGTGGTTGTGTGCACAAGGAGTTTAAAAGAACACTAATTGTGTGGCTTCCCTTAACCGTTTCCTCTTACCTGATGCAATGCTAGCCGCTATTTACATCAGCTGTCAAATGTGGCCTAATTATACCAGGTCATACATTCTGAAACCAGAATACAGGCGATGAAGTAAAAGAGAAAAAGAAAATGGAACATGACAAAATGAAAATATAAATTCCTAATATCCAAAAGTAAGAGTTAAATTCCAAGAAGTTCCAAAAAGATGGGGCAGCTTCACGCTCTTCTGTATTTGTCCTTATCACCCTCCTGAATGGTCAAGCCGGCGTGTTGAATAGAGAGTAAAATAGCCTGACAAACCTCCCGAGAGTTCATGGTAGACTCGGCTGCCAGATGCACGACGCGCCCGTACGTCAGCGGCACATGACAGAGTCTGGGCCGAGCTGACAGTGTAGGACCTGTGCGTGTTGGTGGAGGGTCGTGCCGGGTCTGCGTCCCAGCTCTTTTCGTGTGCTGTGGTGGTCGTGTGCGAGGTCGTCGGGGTTTATTAAAAGAGATCTCGGTCGAGTATCTACGGAGGATTCAAGAAAAGGTGGATTGAATTCGACTCGCTTTAAGGCGTTCGATATTGGGCGATTTTAATTTCCTGTTATCGATATTTTTCCCTTTTTTTAAGGTGGTTGGTGGGCATAGAGGGCGTCAGGATGAATATGCTACTGTTTGTTCTGTGCGCCTCCGTGGCCTCGCTTATCATATATGTGTACGAGAAAAAGAAAACAAAAAAAGAAGAATGATGGATTTAGAAATATAACCAAATGCCAATTAGTACCATGGCTTGATTTGCATGCATATTATGATTTAGTATAGGTATTATATATTCAAATGAAACAAATTTCGAATCTTTGCTATGCACGGCTGTCACGCCAGTTGTTGAGTACTTAACTATTTTCTAAATTGATTGGGATTCTTTGATCTATTTGAGAAAATGATTTATTTTCAGGACGAAACTCGAAATCACGAACAAAATTTCATGAGACATAAAGTTAAATGTTTGCAACCTAACACGAACTCCAAAAGGAAATCTTGCTGGGGAATCCACACAGCTCCAGGCGAAGTCATGCAAACAGACCCAAACGAAGTCAAGAGAAAATAAACACATCGTCCGTGACACATTCACGACATGCATGACAGTCACCTAAACATCCCAAGTTCTTCCTGTTTAGCCGCGCTGCCTCGCTTGACTAGAAGCTTTCCAGTTCTGTATTCCTTCTAAAACTTAATATTCCTTTGCCCTGTTCCTGCACATGGGTTTTTAGAGCCACCACGCTAGTCCTCTGCTTCACACTCTCAAACTTTCTCCCTCTTTCTTTCTTTCTCCGTCGAAGTAGTTCATTTGCATCAAAATCAGGATTTGATATTAAATCTGATCACATTATCTCACAAAATAACTTGTTTTTGCTATAGGTAGAGTATGAGTTTGGCTACCAAAACCCCAGTCAAAATTTAGTTTAGATTGTAAAAGATATTAAATATATAAATTAAATAAAACGATAGTAAGTACGCTACAAGAGGTGCCACACCGCAAACAGAGCACACCAACACCGAAAACTTTGCCAAACCAGTCATTACAAAATACAGCATTTTCTAAATAGATATCCATACCACACGAACACGCACACATTACACACACTACCAAAGAACCAAGCATTACCCGTTCGTAAAGCCATCGACGCCTCAATTAAGAGGTAAAAAGAAAAGAAAAAATCTCGACCGCACCAAACGACGTACGATGGCGTGGAGTGACTTCGTGGAGTGGCTGGACGAGAACAAGGTCGTTCTCATTGCTGTCACCTGCTCAG